TATATATATATATATATATATATATATATATATATATATATATATAAAACTGTTCATTGTGTAATTATAAATTAATTAATAAAATTCAATTTTACAATAATTAGCGATAAATGTTAAATGAAAAAGTTACTAAAGCAATATTTAATTAAAAGAATAGTTAAAATTTAAAAATAATTAAAAATTAAATTTTACTACCTGCCAGTGTCTTTATCTATATGTCATTAAGATTGGAATTTAAAATGCTATTAATATATTATGTAATATAGTATATTTTTAATAAATCTTTCCAATTTCTCAAACTTATAGATCATGAATAACATTCTTCGATATGAGTTGAATGATTTAATAATAAAATATCAACTTTATTAAGCAAAATCAATATTACGTTATTATTTTACCAAGAATATATAAAACTTATTAAAAAACTTACCAACTTAATTAAAATGATAATATTATTTCTTTAGTAAAAGTGCTGGCAAAATGGTGTATTTCATAAAGTAATCTTTCAAGTGCACCGCAAACCATTAAAGATTAAATTGAAGTTATAAATCACGTGTTAATATAGCCCGATTCACGAAGAACTAAAATGAAAAATAATGAGCACACTCCCTCCCTTAAATAGCAATCTAATCTGATTTCTGGTAAACCGAATAAATGAAAAATAAAGATCGGCACGCAAAGATGATGTGAATCGATAGTGTCTCAGTAATCGAACTGAAGCTAATTAAGAAATATATCATAAGGCAATAAGACTGCTCAAGATGCGTCTAGTAGTACTAGTTTTAAATTAAATTTACATCTCTCCTCTTTTTTACAATGATTACATTCTATGCATGTGCGTAACGATATATACAATGTGCTTTCTTTTTGCGCTTGTAAGAATTCCCTTTGTATCTTGGGAAGCCTCATATAAAACGCTTGTTGATAGAAAATTTTTTTATATAAAATGTTAATAATAGAATAATCTCCCAAAAATGTTTATATTCTAAAAATAAAAATCGCAATTATTAATAAATCACAATTACATGAAATTTTTAACGAATTACAATCCGTGGAACAGATTTTGAATGGAAAAGAGTATATCAATATAATAATTAAATTTCATAAGAAATACGAAAATAAAGCCAGATTCATCTTTATCAATCTTGACACATATATATGAAAACACATATTTCTGACATCTTGTCATATTTTTTCTATCTGTTGCTTTTATCGATTTTCATTCTTTTTTCGGATAAGGTCATATATTTAAAATAACTAGTCGCTATTCTTTAATGATCTTTATTGATCTGATCACGTTCGATTTAAATCGACACGATACGTTTGAAAACTGTATTTGAGAATATGTGAATTTCTGGTTTACTCTCATGTGCAGGCCGGGCAAAGTCCGACCGAGCGCGTATCCGGATGTGTAATCTTCAGTCCGATCCGGGGATCTATGTAAATCCAGATGGGAAGATCCGAACGCGCGAAGAGGTCGAGGGAGATAAACAGCTAGAACGGATACAGGAGAACAGGAGTACAGAGAGGAAACGATAGTGGATAAAACGAGTTCCCGAATCCCCGCACGTTCGCGTATTACCATTGATAGAGGCATCGAGGTTCCTCCTGAAAATAAACGTAACGATCTTATCGATGAGATCGAGGGATCAATACCGGGTCGCGATGACCCGTGAAACGGTTACTCCCGTAGCGTAATCAAATCGTTTTCAGAATTATACTCATGAGCAATGCGAGCGTCGGTGGCCCCTAATCGAAGAAGTAAGTAAGCAAGCGAGTTAGCACGCGGGCGCGATATGCGATGGCTTCATCCAAGCCGAGTGACAGCTTCCGGTATCTCTTATTTCGGGCACAATATCCGACCACGGAACTCATCAATCCTGCGCGTCGGTGTGGCTACGGACCAGAGCGGCACACATATGAGACAAACTTGCACGTACCTGGTAACTAGAAATTTTGCGATACTATCTATCATTCCTTCATCCTACTAAAGAAAAAGAATACCAGATTCCGTGTATTTCGAAAATGTAATATGGACTTTCCCTCCTGCGTCGCGCGACCAGGATTAAGGCCATTTCTTTATTTTTATTCTTTCTAAAGATAAACGAAATAAATATATACTGAATGGCAAATCAATTAATCTGGATCGATTCATTACGTATATGTAATCGCGTACGCGCGTAAGTATGATATAGGATTTCACTGAACGCTGCTTGTTAGTAGTCGGACGGGTTGCGTGGAAAGCTATTTGATTTTATACTGCTTCATTTCCATATATATATCGCACAAAAGAACAAGAAGATAAAAAAGACCATAAAAATGAAAAAATCAGAATGCAGCAACTCTGCGCAAATTTCGTACACAAGCTTGTTTCAAATAAAGCGGAAAAATTCCAAAACTTTATCACTCTGCGAGAGTATCACTTGGAAATTAAAGTGAAATCATTCTATGTCCAAATAATTCCATCTATTTGAGTTTTCAAACTTCATCATCTTGAATTTTCATAGTTGGTATGTTTCTTTTACTCAAAACATAAAATAAATAAAATAATAAAATATATAGATCTTTATGTAAATTAATTTTTATAAAGCTTTTAGTTATTAAAAAGTTTAATTATTCTTATGATTACTGTATTATTGTTATCCTACATTACTATTGTACTTTAATTCTAGAAGTTCAAAATCAT